ATAGGAAGTGGAGCTTAAAGATATACAACGAAAAGTGGAAGAGGTAACATTTCATAACATTGTGCCAAGTGAAGGGCATCATCAAGGGTGGCTAGAGCAAGTGCATGCACAAGTTTTACAAGATCTTGATGAAGTGTTAGCCACAACATTCCCAGCTTGATCCACTCTGACATATTTGGCTCCGCACAAAACAAGAGGTTTTGGAAACGAATGCTAAATTGCATCACCGACTTAGATAGTCTTTAACAAAGATAATGCAATTGTTATAAGGCATCATCACAATCATTAGTATATCCAAATGCGCATTTGAAGACGTTCAGGAGAATACTCCAATCCCCACGAATAGCTACACTCAAACCATTATATAATTGCAGTATTGTCTTTTAGAAACATGTGGGAAACTTATGCAAATGTTAAGCATCATCTCAAGAATGATATGTGGCAATCACCATGAAGTGATCGAACTAATGGTACATATCATCCCCAGGATTCCCATTCCAACCAAATGCAAGGATTGGCACCAAGAGCAAAATAAGTTGTACTATATGCCATGAATGTTACCATCAATTGAGTTTGGTTGTTCAACTGCAATCACATAGTATCGAGCAATTGCACCAACTATTACTTTAGAGTTAAAAGAGGTAAAGATTGTTGCTCTACTATGAAGATGAATAAAAAGGAAAGAACAAAAGAAAAGAAATGAAAAAAGGTTATAAAGAAAGGAAAATCTAGACAATGTAAAAGCTAAATTTAAACTCAAATCCTGAAAGGAAAAAATAAAAGAAAGAAAATGGAAAAAACTAGATTTAAACAATGCAAAAATTAAATCTAAATCAAAATCCTAAATCCAAGCACTCCTCAAAGACAATCAAAAGTGCTCTCATCTCCACCAATATGAATTCATAAAATGTGGAAAAAGCATATAGAAAATGTGCATATTAATTAGCCTAAAAACCATAGTTTATATACAATCCGGATTGAAACTAATCTGATAGCTACCAAAATCCCATCATGTTAATATTAGTATATGGCATCATAGCCATATAATTTATAAACACAAGATTAATCTTATTGCATATCAATCATTAGATGGTAGAATAAAAAAGAATATACTATAAAGTGTTTAAGAAAGTTTATAAATTATAAACATGTTTATAAATTATAAATACAAAATTAATCTAAATGAATAATAAGTGTTAGATGGTAGAATATCCTAGAATATTTAAGCATATTCTAGATATATCCACTACCATCCCCTACAGATTTGCTTAAGCAAACCAAAAAATCCAATAAAAATACCATATACAGAGACAAAATAATAATAGAAAAATAAAAATAAACGACAACTGGTGTAGTGGTATCATAGTACCGTTAAATCAACTTAAGGAACAGCATTAATAATGTTTTTGTCCTTTATTGTTAAAACTTCATTTAGACTATAAAATGAAATCATAGTCCATTTCCATTTAACAACGAGTGTAATAGACATAATAAAATTCTCTTCAAATATGAGATTAGTAAAGTTTTGTTCATTCATCCTTATTTTGGTATTAGGATTTACATGTTCTATAATCTTTACTATTGCTCAAACTTTTGACCATTGTTGGGACCCCGTAAATATGCAAAAGTCTATGATGTGTAAATTAGATTATTACAACTCAAAATATAATGAAAATAAGGTAAATATTTTTAAGCAAATGAGAACGACTTCAAGGAGAAAACAAATCCAAATCCAATAATAGAAAGTGATGATTTCTCCATGGGTTATGAAACTTATCATGTAATAATTTTTACTGGTGCAGCAAAATATACCACTACAGGTTGGGGTGGTTGGTATATGTGGTCCTTCAGAGGTTGTTTTGAATATGCTAAACATACTGTTGAATTTCATGAATGTTCATAAGTTCTTAATAAAATTTCTGGAAATGAATAGTAAATAATAGTATTCCAAGGCAGGAAGTTAGTTTTGGATTTAATTGTCAAGAGAAAAGTCACTCTCATGCTCCAATACAAATCAATCCATCCCAGCTGCGGGAAAACTCGACTCCTCTCAAGAGCTTGATGTTTTTGCCACTTACACTGCCGCATCGCTCAACACGATGCTGACAATCTTCACTGGGCAAGGATCATCCGTTGTAACCTCTCGGCCGAGTGGATCCATGGATTCCACATGTTGCGGTGCACAGATTGACAGTTGCCGTCACTGTGAGGCTCGGGATCTCACCAGAGCCAGCCTCGGGTCGAGGGACTTTTGGACGACTAGAGAGTACAGATTAATTCCACGACTGCCTTCTGGCGCTGTTCTTTAACTTCCGTGATTCTCCTGAGAAAGAAAACGTGAAGAGCGAGTTGGCTAAGTCATTGAGCAAACTTCTCTTTTCTACGTACGAGAGAAACTTACTTGTAGAGGACGAGCTCTGAGCCGGAAGAACTCGACGACTTCTCAGCCACGGTGATTTTATCAACGGGAAGCTGCTGGATGTGCTGCTCGGGTGCTCCATTGGCAAGATGAGACCAAACGACAGTGAAGAGTTTTTGTCGTACTCCGTTTTTCCTTGCTTCTTTGGTTCAAAGCCTGCAAATCCCTAGATTAAGACACTTCGATATTCGTTCGTCTGGCTCCCGAACTCTGTGTGTCATTGCTTCTCCTTTGACTTGGTATAATCCCCAGTGTGTCTGGATGCGATACTAGCTCTGCTACTGCCGCATCCAAAGAGCCTTCTAACCATCAAAAAGCTGTGTACTCATCCAAATCTGCTGCCCAGCAGAGTTTATGTATATTTGGGTTTGTTGTGCAAGTTAGGGTTTGGAGCAATAGCTTTTCTATGGCGTTAGCAAACAACTGTAAATTAACTTTTATATAGCACTGGATCAATAGATGAATTGAAGTAGAAGATTTTTTTTTGCTCATTAAAGCTCCCAGTTTGTTGTAAGAGGTTCCCTTTCTCCAGAGGATGTTCAATCCCATGTTTAGAGAGGAAGAAACTGCCCTGACATGAAAGTTGAAAACACTTAACATGAAATGGAATGAATAATTTGCTATGCATTAGCGTTATTCCTACTTATTAATTATAAACATGTTTATAATTTATAAACACAAGATTAATCTTATTGCATATCAACCATTAGATGGTAGAATAAAAACGAATATACTAAAAAGTGTTTAAGAAAGTTTATAAATTATAAATATAAGATTAATATAAATAAATAACAGCCATTAGATGGAAGAATATCCTAAAATATCCAAATATATTCTAGGTATATCCACTACCATAGGTTTGCTTAAGCAAACCAATAAGTAAACAAATCAAATGATACATGCAACATGTAGCAAATTATTGTTTATAGAATGTAAATTTTTAATGGTTGTATTCATTTTTATATTATCTCAAAATTATTTAATATAGCACGGGTTAGGTATATTCTTTTCAATAGTTTAAATTCCACTTTGCAATTTGAATGATTTAGATGTAATTTAAAAGTGAAATGCTATTACTATTTCCTCCAATATGACAGTTATAATTTTTCTTATTATCTATGCTGAAGTTATAATATTGTATACTATTATGGGATTTTGGTAGTTATTAAATTGATTTCAATATAAACCACTCATTTTTATAGCATCTTTGATCATTTTTAGAGAGTTGATGCCTTCAACTAGCTCAGTGAAAGATGGGAAAAATTCAGGGAGATAGTGAGTGAAAATCCACTTCCAATCACTTCGAAACTCCGGTTGAATCCATGAATTTCTGACTCCTCGCTCCTAGCTCGTGCAGAGCGCTGCTCCATAAAACAAATTTAAAAATATTTCAGTAAACCGATGAAAGAATATTTGGCGAAAAGGTAGTATATCCGTTTGTTTTGTATAGGGTTTGTGATTGTAAAAAAGGAATCAAGAACTTCTCACGAGCAGAGCAGATTGAAGATGGTGGCGGTGGATGTTGAGCGGTATGTTGAGCTCAAGCGCATGATCGACGATTTGGCGATCGAGGCTGGTAACAATAGGAGGATCCGGGTGAAACAATACGATAGTTTCGACTTCGCGGACTATGATCACTGGGCCGAGACCAACAACAAGAGGGCGCTCAGGCCGGACTGCCATTACATGGAAGACGAGGTGGCGTTGGATCCTCCCCATGCCGACCGGATCACGCGGATGGTGGCCGTGGCGCTCCAGCAAGAGGAGGAAGAGAACAGGAGGCAACTGTCTAAGGAGGTGAACTACTTCACAAGGCAACTGGCGCTTCAGCAACAACAAGCCGGGCCGCCGAGCAAGAGAGCTCGCCACTGATCATCGAATCATCCCCTTGAGGGACGAAAACAATCTTGTATCACAAGCATTAACAGAACTTGTGAACAAACCAAGCTCTTAGAAGCAATAAACTTTTGTTGTTTGTACTTCATATACCTGGCAATGAAGAGATCTTTCCAGTTCTATGAGCTTTAATGGTGGTCCATCTCGGGGAATATGGCCGTGAGTCTTCCTTTAGCTAATAAGCCCTAGCTAGAGCTACGTTACGAGCGAAGGAAACGATGCCCAAGGTATGCTGTATTATTTGTGCAAAGAAAGTGCTCCAGTGACCTGGCTTGATCAAGAACATCAATACTCAATTGCTAAGATATACAGAGATTATGAACATCAGTTAGGAATTATGGAAGAGAGGATCAATAACGCGGAGGACAGGTGAAGAGAGGAAAAAACGAATTTCTACTTCCTCTTCTCAACTTTGTGATTGAGGAGAATAGCTTTTCTTTTTGTTGTATCTCATCGAATGCTTGTGTTCTCGCTCCCGCTTCACCGCTGCCCTTGCAAGTGAAAAACAACCAAACCATTGAAGTAACTGTTGTGTGCATCATGTTTTCTTCGAATCCAATTACTATTCTTACTCTCTCTGGTTCCAGTTGTGAGAACAAACATGAATTTAGAGACGAGTCATTTAAAATGAGTTCTTTCGAAGTGTGCTTATATAATATTATTTCTTGAGGCCTTGAGATCATCATTCTAGCACAAGAAGTTTTATATATCAATGACTCCTAAACAACCCGCTCAATAAAGTCCACTTCTTGAGATTGTCATGAGACATGAGATTAGATATACTCCATCTTGACGGCTACGAACTATTGACAGCCGTTAGATGTCAACCATCAACAAAGACCAAGCTCCGCGGCCTGGCGTCCTCGCTGATAGTCACCACAAACATTGTAAGATCCCAGCAGCGTCATCCACGCAGCACACTCGGGCTCAAACGGCATGCTCTTGACCAGCTCTTCCGCCAGCGGCATCCATCCGGCCCTGCCAAGAACATCCACCAAGCACTGGTAATGCTGCGCGTCCGGGCAGCCACAGTAATCCTCCACCATCAAAGCAAACACGTACCTCCCCTCGGCCACCAGCCCGGCATGGCTACACGCGAACAAGATCGTGATGAAAGTTATGTGATCCGGCTCCACTCCTTCCAAGCACAGCTCGGACAAAAGGTTGAGAGCTTCCGCGGCGTGGCCATGGCGAGCGTAGGCCGCGATCATCGAGGACCAGCATATCACGTCCCTGTGGTCGCGCATCTCGTCGAAGAGCTTCCGGGCTTCCACCAGGCTGCCGCAGCTGGCGTACATGTTTACCAGCGCATTCCCCAGCGAGCCATGGATCTGGAACTTGGAGGAGATTGCTCTCGAGTGAACGAGCCTGCCCTGGACGAGATCCTTGGCTGCGCAGCAGGCGTCGGCGATGGCGACGAGAGTTATCTCGTTGGGCTTGACGCTGCTCTCGGCTCTCATCCTCGCGTAGATCTCCAGAGCTTGTCTGGCGTCGCCGCTCTGAGAGTAGGCTGCGATGATCGCCGTCCAGGTGACCACGTCCCTGGCTTCCATTGCGTCGAACACCGCTCTCGCCTCGTCCAGGCAGCAGCACCTCCCATACATGGTTATCAGCGCGTTCCCGGTGGCAGCGTCCGGCATGAGCCCCGAGGAAACGAGCCGCTGGTGGATCTCCCTGCCCTGATCCAGAGCTCGCAGCCTCGAGCAAGCATCCAGCGCGGTGGTGAAAGTGATGCAGTCGGGCTGGACGTCCATCTTCCGGTAGAGCTCGAGAGCTTCCGCGGCACGGCCGTTCTGAGCGTACGCCGCCATGATCGAGTTCCACGACACCTCGCTTCTCTCGACGGTGTTGTCGAAGACGTCCCTGGCGGCGTCTAGATCTCCACACTTGCTGTACATGTGTACCAGCGCGTTTCTCACGACAACTTGGGCATCGTATCCAGCGTCAGCCACTCGGGCGTGGATGGCTTTGCCTTGTGCCAGATCCTGGAGAGCCGAGCAGGCAGTGAGAGCACTGAGGAAAGTGACCAAGTTGCGTTTCATACCTTCGGGTTCCATTCGATGGTAGAGCTGGAGAGCTCTCCTGTTCTGGCCCTGCTGCGTGAACGCCGAGATCATACAGTTCCACGAGAAGACCGTCTTGTTTTTCATGCTCTCGAAAACTCTCCATGCATCGTCGCAGCTCCGACACTTGCTGTACATCCCGATGAGCGCATTCCCCAGCGCGGCACCAATCTCAAGTCTCCCGGCTGCTTCGATGCTCCTGTGGATTTCTCGTCCCAGATCCAGGCTGCGCAAGCTCGCGCAGGCCTCCACAACGCCGAGGTACGTCACTTCGCTGGGCTCTAGCTTCTCCTCGTGGACCATTCGTCTGTAGATCTCCACAGCCTGCCTGCTATGCCCGTTTCGGGCATATGCTCCAAGCATGGCGCTCCAAGTCACGACGTTCTTCGTGGCGATCCTGTCGAATTCTCTGCGTGCCTCCTCCGCGCTTCCACATCTGCCATACATGGTGATGAGAGCGCTGTGCAAGGAATCCGAGAAGAAGCCACTCTCTAGGACGTGAGAATGGAGAGACTTACCCGGTTTGAAGCTGCCCAGCTTGGAGCATGCGCCAAGAACAAGGAGGAAGACGACGCTGTTCTCCATCTTCACTCCCTGGTTGGACATCTCCCAGTAGAGCCGCACGACCTCCTTGCAATGCCCGTTCTTGGCATACGCGTTCATCATCAGGCCCCAGGAGAAGAGATTGCGGTGGAAGAGGGAATCGTCGAATACCTGGCGCGCGTCGCTGAGGCTGCCACACTTGCCATACATCTCCAGCAGGAGATTCGCGAGGAATGCGACCCTCTTCCCGCGGTAGAAGCTGCGAATGTGGCCGTGGACGCGCTTACCCTGTGAAAGCGCTCGCTCCTCGCCACAGCGGCGCAGGAGGTGGACGTAATCCGGCGATCGATGGGAGAGGCGCGTCGCGATCTCGGCGTCAAGATCGCTGCTCATCCAACCAAGAGCCCTAGAAATTTGAAGAACTTTAATTAATTTTTTCCACGGCCAAAACTTTCCATGGAAACAAGAGCGCTGCGAAAGCTCCAGCTATGGCAGCGCCAAAAACTCCTGCGAGAGGACTGCTTGCGTGAAGTCCTGTTAACCAGCAAGGAGCTTTTGGCGAATAGACCACGAATCCTCCGCAAGTGAGCACGAAGTTTGCAGCGATCAAGCCGGCGTGTAGTCCGATTGGAAGCGCCAAATTCCCGTTTGATCTGACGCGAGCACCCGCAAGAGCAACACCCATGAACCATAGTCCTGGTATTGCCGATGGTGACCTGAGATCAAAGGAGAACATATAGACCATGGAAAAAAGAGAATGAAAGCTACTTACCAGTGAACTATTGCAAACAAGAGGCTGGAGAGTAGTATGGCTTTCTGCTCGCCGAAATCGACCGAGATCTCTTCAAGCAGCCACGAGCGAAAGATAAGTTCCTCCACTGGTGCAATGACCACTCCCATTGCCAGTGCTTCGACTGTCAGCTTCGCTAGCTTTCCGATCGAAATTAGCGCCTGAGAGAATGAAGTCATTACCAGGAAGGAGGAGACGAGCTTCAAGTAGCGAAGCTGGGAAAGTAGGACGTAAAATAGACACACGACCCCACAACCGACTGCTAAGCCAGCTCCAAAGAGATTGAGCTGCAAAAGAAAGAGCGTTAGAACATTAGTGGATAAAAGAAGTTGCTTACTCTCTTCAGCCTGAGGCCATATTGGTGTAATGGCTGATCGAAGCCACGAATTTTCTTCCCCCAGATTATAATCAAAAGAATCAGTGCTCCATAAAAACCAAAAACGCAAGCGCACTGCGCTACCCCTCCAGACGAGTGCGATGCCCACTCGGTCAAAAGAGTGGGGAGCAATGGTAGAAAAATTGGAGACCACAGAAGTAAAACCATTCCCGAAAATCCCAGGAGCCTGCAAACACAAAACTACGAACTCAAGCTTCAGCAGAAAAACTAAACCAAAGTACCTTCGATGCAACGGCATGGCAGCTATTTTGAAAAATACAAGCAGCCTCTCTGTTACATTCATAGCACCACGTAAACCACCCCAAAGAAGTGCAGCCTTTCCAATGACATTTAAAAACCCGGCCTTCTGACCAATATCCGCTAGCATTGATATCAACCTGTTGTTCAGTGTAACCAATACATTGCATTCAATAAAAAAGAAAGTAAGAAAATACCTTTCGTGGTCGACTTGGCCATCTTTGGTTGGAACCACGGGAGCGGCAATGGAAAAGGCCTTCTCCGCCATGCTAGTGACTATGTTATCCTTGTAGCAATCGTCGTCCCCATCGCCTTCTTGGCCGTCTCTTGATCCCGAACGAGAGCTACCACTGCTGGCGAACGCAGCAGTAGCACCCATAGCAGCAGCAGTCACAGCTCCCACAACATTTCCGCAAAGACCCTTCTCAATCTCCTCGCTTGCAGCCACCGGATTGTCGCTAGTTGCTTCAGGTAGCGATTTCTCCTGCACTTTGATTTCTTCCTCCACTCGCTCGTTGTCGTTCTTTGTTGTGACAACCACGTACGAGTTGACGAGGGATGCCAGAATGACCCCGACTAGCACCCCGAAAGGAACGACTTTCTGCAGAATGATAGTCCCCCGAAACGCCGACGCCACAGCATCAACCAGGCCTTCGGCCGAAAGAACCCGTCCAGAAGAGGTATCGACGTGACGTATTGCTGCTCTCGCGACCCCGGGAAGTTCCTCTTTCAAACCATCTATAACACCTGGAGAAGCTGATCCGAGCCTTCTTCGTACTTCCACCTTCATGGCTTCCAGAACTATGTTTTCAGCTTGGGCCAAATGTTCCTCTGAAAAACCATCATTCCTGTCGGAACCTTTGCAGTCGTGCAAAACAAATCCCGAAATCTTCGTTTTCTTTAGTCTGGTGTGGACATCTTTCACCTCGTCCACCTGTTCTAGTGTAGTTGTGCTCTTCGTAACTGCTGCCGCGTTTGCTACTTCTGGGTTTGTAAACTCGGACCTGGAGGAAGTCTCTAAAGGGAAGTTTGCTGACGACTGAAAGACCAGCTCCCCCTCCTTCCTGTTTCCTGAAGTCGTTTCTGTATCACCCCTGTTGTTTCCTTGTGCCTGGGGCGCTTCGTTTCCATTCCCGCTTTCAATTTGATCGAGCATCCCTTCGAGTAATCCAAACACATTGTTGACAGCCATTTGCGTAGAATCATCAAAACCAGAAAATGCTTGAAATGCCTGTTGGACGTTGATGGACGAGTTTGTTTGCTGAGCGGCTGGAGTGTTTTCAGGATTCCGGCTTGATACATCTGTTTCTGGCTTTGGTGGATCGGACGTATTTTCAGGCCGCTTTTGATTTTGGACTGCAGCTTCTGCATCTTTGTTCTCCTCAGTATCTCCTTTTTCGTCTGAAGCACTAGGCTGTTCTTGCTTTCCTCCTGGAAGAACTGCCGGTTCTGCGCCTTTTTTTGCATCAGATTCTGTGTTTCCCGTTCGATCGGATTCTTTTGTTGTCTCGGATTTGCCTTCTCCATCCGAGCCACCGGTTGGAGCAGGAGGGGTACTTTGCATGTCCCCCTTCGGCAAAGTTGGAGCCGGCACGGAGTCTCCAAAACCAACGAGCTTTAAACTTATACCGCGAGTTTGTACGGCAGCAGAGACAGCAGCAGCCATCTTTCCACGCACATCTTCAGGAACAGCATTTTGCAACGCTGTGATTACAGTCTCACCCCTTCCAACAGCATCCAATACCTGTGTTGACAAGAGCTTTAGCTAGAAAAAAACCGAGAAAAATTAAAAGAGAACCTGTTCTTTAGTTTCGGGAGATAATGTTCCTGGCATTGCCATATCCAAAGCGCTGAAGACTGTTTGAGCAGCTTGTTTAGCTTGACCTTGCTCTGTCTCTTCATTCTGCTGACTTTCATTCTGCTGACTTTGCACTTCTGGCACTTGAGGTTCAGTCCCTTCTTTATGTTCAATCCCTTCAGTCCCTTCATTAGGTGCCCAGAAGTCTTCCTTTGACTCCAACGTTATGTACTCATTTCCTTCTTCGAGTAAACCTGTAGTCAAGTTCGTACTCCACCCTTTGGAAGGCTTTATTGCCAAATCTATTCCACGAAGTAACGGATGACGACCTTTCAGCAATGCTATCTCCACAGCAGCAAGCCACTGGATGGAAAAGAAAGATGATTAGAAGTCGTACGTATAAAGTAAGTTTACCTCTAACACTATTTTGAAGTTGTAGCCGTCGTTTGGCGAGTACAGTAGCGTCGTGAAAGGATTCTCTTCAAATGCATTTTGTGGAATGGAAAACGGTGGAGCCGCAGTACTATCCTACATTCACAGAACAGTTGGCTACTTTGATAGTTACAACGTCAAAAGTGACACAAACCTGAATGCAGAGCAAAGGAGTTTGAATTCCATCGATAACATTACGACTGCTTGAACTCCTGTAATAGCTTTCCAAAGACTTAAATCCCCTTGCTGGGCACGAAACGGCAGCCTCGAACTCCCTTACAGACGTAGCTGCGAGACCACCAGTTATGTCCATGTTTGCTTGTCCTTGGAAAAGAAACTAGAAACCAGTATTGAAGCAAACAATCTTTCTTCTCATGAAGTACCTTGTTCGACCGTAGTATTTGAACGAGACCATCAGTCAGCTCCCTGTCAAGACCAGCAGCACGATTCCGCTTCATGTATTTCGTAGCCTCGTCCAGATCAAACGGGTTATTGATACAGACTGCCGCTGTAAGAGGTGTCAAGTTCTCCTCTCCAAGATATTTAGCCAGCATATTTGCACCGAAACCCCATCCAATTCCTAGGAACGTTGTCCACGGCCTGCAGCGAGCAATATAGGACACTGCTGTGCGTACATCGTCACTGTCACCAGCAGAGAAAATCCTGCTCGAAGAGACAGAAAAATAGAAAAGAATGTTTGGACGTAAGAATAACTTCACAAACATACCTTGGTGTTGTAAGCGGCGAGTTTCCACATCCTCTGGGATTCAGAACCACAGAAAAGTATCCGCTTTGTAAGGCTTCTTGAGCGAAAATCTTGACCGCCTCGTCTTCGCTTCCTTTGAACGTCCCGGGAATGAGCAGCAAGGTGGTGTCAAGACCGTGATCACCATCCAGATCGAGATAAGCCGGCCAGTCGAGAGCAAGACTTCCACCATCCTCAGTCCATATACATTTTCGTTGATACTCCAGCGTCTTCCTGCCATCCTTGTTGCCTTGCAAGCTTTCGCTTCGAACCGACACTACCTGGTGGCTCGAAAGTTCCATCTTCTCATAAGAGTCGTCCGGAGAACTCGAATCGAAAATGATCGACGGCCACCTTGCCACCACAAATCTGTTGAAAGGCGATGGATTGAGAGTGAGGAGCCAGTAATCCGACAACTTGTTCGGTGGAATTTTTCTTTCTCCGCTGCTGCCTGGTTTGTTTGATTTGCTGCCAGCAATCGAAGTTCCAGCCACCGCTGTGAGAGCTATCGCCAGGAATCCCATCGCCGATGTGCTCGGCATTGCCATAAGGAACTCTTGCAAGCTGTTTAAGCTGCTCCTCACATCGAATTCCACCAGGGAGAAGATATCCATCGGCCCAGCACTCATGCATGCCGTTTTGCGAAGGAGAAATCCCCTCGATAGTAGCTTGGATGCCAGAAATCTCCGATGAGCCCGAAATCCCTCATGGATTGGCACTGCCGACCACATTCCGATCGAAATATCCATCGCCAGTGGACGATAGATGTCAAATCCTACCACTGGCTGCTCAAGAACATTGAAATTGCCGTTGCCGCATGAGAATCCATGCCAGAAACAGGGGATAGATCCTCCAGGGCGCCATGAAGTACCTGAGAGTTAAGAGATATCGCAGCGCCATCACGCTCGACGCGTGGAACCCTAGCCGGACCACCGACACGCGAGAACACACACGAGAACTGGTTCACGTTAATAGTTTTGAGTATTTCGAAGCTAATAGGTACACCACAGGTAAAGAGATTATATTTCTTTCTTGTTGCAAGCCATGCTACTATATTTCCAGGGATTTTCTCACGCACTGGCGAACTCTCCTGGAATGAAATTCACAACCATCGATCAGAGACCAAAGCCAAAGCCAAGACCACGAAAGAAACATCACGATTTCTACCTGTTGTATGCTTGGAGATCGTTTTGATACATATGAGCAGCTTCCGGATTCGCTGGACTCGCGGGATTTGGATCAGTAAGAAGTGACTGGCACAACATAGCACGAAGAACACCATTGTTAGAACAAAACTGGAAGAACAAGCCTGCAAAAGGAGAACTTTACCTGAATGGATGTGAGAATCGTGCTCACGTTATGGCAGGGAGACCAAGCGTCCTGGATGATATCCATACAGAGAGCGCCATCACTGTAGACTGGAGGATCAAAGCGTTTTAAAAAGAATGGAAAACTAACGTTCGCGAAAATCCGTCACAGACTTACCATTGGGATGGAAAACTTCCGACGTGAATCTTACGCGCGGTGGCTTTGCCGGATAGTGCTCGCCAAACGTGAGACGAAGTGGCAAGATCGCTCCTGCGAGATTTGATTCCATCAAACGTAAAAAAAAGAAAAAAAGAAAAAGGGAAAGAGAAATTCTCATAAGTACCTTCCCACGGGGTTTCATCCGGCCCAAACACCGTCGCTCCCCACACAAAGAGATTCTCTTCGCCTTGAGGGCTCGCGCTACATCCCTGCTAAGAAGAGATCAATCCAATTCCATCAGCTACAATCATACCTCCGGCGGCTCCTGTTGGATCGCTTTGAGGTCGGACATGAGCCGCAACTGCGCCGAGGACAGCATTTTCTCCTTACCCTACCTTGCAAGAACGCGAATTCGTCGTGAGAAGATCTAAGAGCGGCGGCGGCGGCGGCAGCACCCGCAACGAGCATGCTGTTGTCACAAGCCCGCCATGGCTCGCCCTCGCTCGCGCGCTGCCGTAGCACGCACGTCCCCGGCGCCTTACAAAACCCTAAGAACTGGACTGATATTGATTGATTGGCATAGAGGTCGGTATTGGTCTATGCGGCCACGGCCCGTCAGTGCCCGTCAGTCCCCGTCAAACTATGTCACTTAATCGGGGAAATTTCTGCAAAAGCATCTTGAAACTTGTTTTTATGGAATTTATGATTTGATTGACTGTCTAACTCGCAACCTCCCCGGCAACGACAGCTTGGACACATTGGCAGTGTTTGGCAGTGTTTGGCAGTGTTTTGCAATTACAAGAGACTCACAATTAACAAGGTGAAAACCAAGATCTTGGTTTTTGGCAATCTCACTGAAACAAACAAGGAGTGAACCCTACGCCAACCTCCCAACCATTAAGGCGTTATGGCTTTAAATCCCACACCTCTCCAGGGCACACAAGTCACTGTCCTGTCACCACTGGGTGATTGTAGAACTCCATTAATGTGCATCACCAAAGATGCCCAGGGATCTCCGGTTTTGTCCCACATACATCGCATGGCATGGGTGCAAGACGTCGAACATGTTTTAAATGACTCCCCAACGCTTTCGCCGGCTCCGTCCAGGGATCAGCCGCGCATGGCATCCTGGAAGGAACAGCCTGGGCACCGCAATTCTGCGAGATTGGAAACTACGTGACAAGAAATGGTGAGCTAACTCATGGAGGCATTCCAATGCGGACAAGTGCAGAGTCCACAACAAACGGTGCTGTGGACCCAGGGAGGAGTATGCCGACCGAATCACAAGCAGCTCGGCTCAACGGCGCTGTGGAGGAGGAGGAGGGGACGATGACGAAGATGTTGAAGATAACGAAAATGTGGAGTGCTCAGCGACCACAACAGACATTTTTTAATACATCATCAGTCTCATATGCTTCTTAGTAAACAGTAAATAAAATAAAATAATTCTGCATCATTGTTAATCATAAAGTTGATATAGACAAAGTAACACATGAATTTCAAGCGCCAAAAATTTTCTTTTGTAAAGAACACCAAAGGCTTTCAATTCAACTAGGATTTTGCCACTTCAATCTTTAATCCCAATAGTAATTTCTATAGATTAAAAAAAGCTACTGCCAAAAGAAAGATAACTGGTTTAGAGAATTATTTTCCTACTAAACATTCCTTTTTTGACATGTCCAAGAATGTTTCCTGACCATTTTCCACAAAGCCCCAATTGAGCCTTAGCCTCTACCAAGATAAAAGGTGTTGAGAAGGAAGCCGTAGATAAAAAAATATAATATTCTAAAAATGAAATCTAAGGTTTAACAAAATTTACATAAATATAGATGATCTAATTCTTTAAGTGTTATTAAGTTTGGTCTTTAATTCTAGGAATTCTTTTGCTATTTATTCCTTTTAAATTCTTTTATTCTTAATAACTCTGGTTTAAGAATCTTAATTGCCAATATAGGCTCTAAATGCCATCTTTGATTGCCAGCCTCTTCTGGACTCTGACCTGCACAAGAGCATGGAGGGTGAGTTTTGGAGGTAAGTTTTATTGTTGATGACCAGGTTCATTTCTAAAATCACTCAAGACACGGTTTCTTGTTTTGCTCACAGATGTGAACACAAAGCTTTGTTTATCCTCTTGGCGAGCAGGTGATGATGACAGGGTTGTGACATGACTTCCAAGATTGGCTCCATGCCAGTTAACATGGGAAGCATGTGATTGTCAAGAAGAGGGAATCTGACCTGCGAGGAATGGAGCTGGAAGGAAACTTTCGTGTACCATGATGCCAGGGGCTGTTCATCTTGCTCTTGATTTTGTCTAGATTCTTATCAGAGAAAAGTTTTTGCTGGTTCCATTCTGGATTGAAAGTGGAGATAGAAAAAGCAGTGAAGATATTTTGATTTATTTGACTTTTAGTTGTATCTATACTCGATCCATATAAATAGGTTATGAGATTTGATGCAAAGAAAGAGATTGGGTCATGTTTGTTATAAGGGAGTCAAAGCTATTCTACTAGATATATGGTAAGAATTATATGATTATTTTTACCTTGTTTTTCTTGTGGAGGCTCTAGGACAAAAGATAAAATTCACAACACTTATTCCACACAATATAAAGGCCTGTATTTCTAAGAAGTGGTTAAGAGAATCTTCAAGAAGCATAAGGTGGTGGTAGTGGTGGAAAAGTTTTGAAGGAATTAATCTAAATGAATATAGAATATTTAATAATAATCTAAGTATGTCAGTTTGCATAAAACAAACTTTAAAAATAATTAATATAAAAAATATTTAATTGAAATAAATTACAAAGATCATGTCATATATTTGCTATCTCTTTGTATTTATTAAGGAATATATTCAGCCACAATAAAACTTAAGCCCTAAATCTTTACTCATGGGATTTGAATTTGAAATTTACTATATATATGAATGGGCATTTGAGATTAAAGTTATATTTCTAAATTTTCTGAAATTGGTTTCAACAATTTTAAGGATTTTATACTTAAAGTGTTCAATATAATTTTTTTTTTCATTCATTGTTTAATATTTTAGTAGTTTTGTTGTCTTTCTCTCAATAACAAGCTCCTAACAATTTAAACACTCTAATATTAATGGCTTCTTTAGATCATTTTCTTCAACTTCAGTTAGATCTTGATACCATATAAAGTATTAAAGTAATCTTATACAACACTTCATTTATAGCTCTAACAAATTATTTAGCACTAATAGCGACTTTTTAATTTAGAGCTATCCCAATAAAGTTTAATAGTATATAGTCTGAGTTCTATGGCTTCTTTAACCAAATTAGGCTTTGAATTTAGCTTGGTTAATACCCCATTCTAACTTTTTTGTGTTAGCCTAATTAAATCTCTTTTTACTACCTACCCATTTTGAAAAGAGTGATTCTGTTCTTTAGAATTTCAATCTTTTTATTTAGCTCTTCACAAAATAATACTAATCAAGAGTTTACTCCCATCAATAAATTGTTACAATTGTGATAAAGCTTCAAATCTATATTTGCCTATGTATTGGAGTTTCAAATGGTCACTATTGATATTTTATGGGATGATATAACCCTCAAAAAATAATTTCACCTTAGCCTTTATGATGATGCAAAGATCTCATACTTTTATTATCCAAATCTAATATCTTTCATAACTACCATTGATTTTGCTATTTATTATGATAATTAATTATAAAAATGACAATTGAAATCTCATTATTAAACCTTTGTTACTCGTCCAATAGCCCCAATCTTGGAGCAACCAGCACATGAGCAAGGCAAAGTTCAAATATAAATTGAAGTTATATGCTAATAGCACTTTTTCAAGGCTGAATAATAATATCAAATCAAGAACCCCCTTTGTATATTAGCAATACAAACCACTTTCGGAAGTAATATCTTTATTTTTGTGCTTGCCATATAGTTGTTTATGAAAAATGAGAATATTTAGTCTAATTAGGGGTTATTTGACTATATGAATTATCTTATTTTACTTATTTTGGCTTTATTCCTCCTTCATAGATTTTCAAGTTTTTTCATTTCATTTTATAAAATCTATATAGTCTTTTTTCAACTTTTAAATAATAACAATGCTAATAAAAACTTCATCGATTAAAAATGTACACTTTTTTGTGGCATTTTTCTTCAACCATCACAACATCCAACTTATGGTGAAGTGGTAGATTGTTGATAAATCCTCTCTAGATTCATCACACATGAAATTGAGTTGGTAAAAGTAATAGCATTTAAAACTTATTGCAATATCTCTTTCAATATTAATTCCATCCCGAAGACCTTTATCATTCTTAGTTTTCTTTACTTTGAGTGAATAAATTTGACAATAGGTTGGAAGTGGCATAATGTCAATTGGATAATTCTCCCCTTCTCCAAGTATCTTCTTTTTCTTTTATAATCTAAATTTTTTACATTTCTTTGTATGAGTTCTAAGTTACCAGCTGTCATAATACTAATTCTATCTTCATAATTGTTGTTCATTTAACATTAACTCTATTTATCAAAATCAAATCCACTTTTTCTTTCAAACATACCAAATTTAAGAATGTTTTCCACAAGAAAATAATTGATATTTTCCACCATATCAATCTTGTGGAAGGGAAATCACCACCATTTTGGTGTATTTACAATTTTTCATTAACAAAGTTGGAGACATTACATAAGAAAAAGAGAATATTTTTAAATGTTTTCTCAATCACTAATTGATGCACTTATCTTTTTTGTATCCAAGAAAGACAAATCTTTTCATTCAATGATTGACTATTATAATCTGAACAAAGTCATCATTCCTAACTAAAACTTACTTCTATTGATCCCTGAAATATTAGAGTTACTTTCCAAGATATGATTTTTCACAAAAATTGATTTGTATGGCATTTATAACCTCATTTACATTTAAGAGGGTGATGAGTGATTAAGAACCTTTTATATTTAATATGCCCACTTTAAGTATACAGTGATACTTTTTGTTTGATCAATGTATTTGTTGTTTTATAACATATGGTGAGTGATTTTTTTATCTCTTTATTATCATTCTTGATGATATTTTTATTTTCTTTGAGACTTGAGAAAAGTGCAAACATCATGTTCACCTTATACTCCAAAGCCTTTAACTATATGGCATTTTTGCAAAGATTGAATAATGTTTTTTTGACTAAGATTGTAAGCAATTAAATTTTCCATTCTACTTTAGTCACTTAACCACACCTCCAACCACTTGGAGAAGTCTTACTCACAACCTCTATAAATCTTATTCCGGACTTGGGGACTTGCTAGCACCAAGAATGGCATCTGTGCCACTCAACCGTTGCACTTAGTCCAAATGCTCCATGTGTTTGGTCCCATGATTAACACTCAAAGGTATCATTGACATATTGGCCCATTACGCTAAAGCCATGCCCATTCACCTTTGCCGCATTAGTGGTCTAATACCACTTGCATCACAGTCCTGTCTTCCCAAGACTGGGCCATCTATCCACGAATGGTCATCCCAGATCCACTCCTTAGCATCCTTAGGATGCCCATAGACATGGGGAATAACCTTCCCCAATATCCCTTTGTCAGTT